GGTTGATCAACGAGTAAGAAGTTTCCCTGCTGACTTCGGGCCTTGTATGATTTATGCATGTCAACAATCCTTCAACAGTTGCAGCCCCTAAAGAATAGACTTGTGCTGGTCTCTTGACAAAAATTTTCTTGTAATAATAATTAGCCCAACAAATCTGGTATGACGTGCTAAAGGGATGGGATATTTGCGTGACTAGGAATAGACATCAAATGTCATCTTTAATTGGAGTTGCTCAGACCAATTTTTGCGTTGCTCCTTTTTAAGCCTTTTCACCATGTTAAAAGCCTAATTTTGCATACATTTTGTTATCTTTACAAAACTAAACCATTAATAAGTCCATCAAGACATCACTGGATATTCTATGTTCTTTTTTGCCAATATATGCATCCATATATTAAGTCAGAGAAATAAATAGGGCTAAATTTGTCGGCTAAAATTCAAAAAAGCTCAAGCTTTTTATGTCAATATGTGGGAAATATTTCAAAAATTATGTTGTATCCTTACAAAAAGATCAATCATCATTGTATAAAATTCAAGCCCATCTGCCATATTACTCATTTATCATGACCGATTGCTTCAGATTTACTGAAGGGTAAGAAAGAGTGCTAATTATATTCACAATTACACTTTATATCACAAGTCCTTTAATGCTCACTTCATAATCAAGACTACAATCATGAAGACTTTTTAGGGTTTAATATCTCTGGATGTTCTCGCCAAAATTCTTCCCGTATAATATCACAGTGTAATGTCAGTATTCGTGACGATTGAAGATGGTGGTTATTGGAAAAAGCTGATTTACTTCTGGTCTGGTTCCCACTGGAAGTCTCACTGTCTGAGGAAGGCTGGAATTACATGAAACGTATCTCATCAGCATTATAACAAACATTAAGTACAATAATACAAACTGAAACATTTTATACTTTTCTGCATGGTTTGAACTCTTCAAAAAAACACATTATAGCTACCCAAAATTGTTTTTTTTATTTCAAAAGAGAATCCCAAATATAATGCTATTCTCTAAGGTGAAGGGTACATAGTTGTGCGAAAACTAGGATGAATCAAAACAAGAACATGAGCAATTTATTTCAATTTAAGGTTGAGAAAAATGGACACAGAAACAAAACAGTGTTGTATTATGTTGTGTTCATAACTACTTCCACTATCTCAAAATAAATCTATAAAATATGCTGATTACTACAAATAATAAAGTTGCCAGTCTAAGTAAGGTTTGGAATTGTACCCTATAGAAGTATACAAGTATTAAACCTACCTTATTGCGTATTAAAACAGAACCCTTTCTATATAAATCTGATAAATTATTATAATTGATATCAAACTCAGAAAATAAAATTTCATTTTTATCACTAGATAATGTTCCCTGGAATACAGAAATATAAGGTTTTTTGAGTTCTCAAATATCATCTTTCATTAACAGTATGAATGTACCCCTTAACATCAATTGGTTCACATCATTTCTACACCAGCTGTGCTGAAGATGAATTTAAAAAAAAAAAAAACATGCTTCAGCAGCATAGAATGAGCAGTCGAGACAATTCTCTCTGAAAAAAGAATAACCAAGGTATTGAGAATTAAGCTGTCATTCCTATGGAAATTTATACCCCTATCTTAATTGATTGTGAAGTTGCACCAAGTCTAATTCACATATAAACCCACGTCATGTTTTATGGATTCATAATCTTCACCAATAAAGCTAGTTTTTGAAAAAAAAACAAATTAGACTTAAGGTATATGAACAAAATAAGCAAACTTCACAAAATCCTTGTAACAGAATAAAATATTGCCTACTAACCATAAGTTTTGGTCCAAAACACAAATATTTCATTTTTACAAATTGACATTAGTAGTAATTAACAGCAGGTTCAACCAGAGTAGATGAGAGTGTCCTTACCTTTAATCTTTGTTGAGCCTGAGCAGGAGTTAAACCTTTACCCTGAACCAGTTTCCAGAACACTGTATTATACAGATTGTTTATATGACCTGTAAAATAGTGAATAAATACCAGTACATTCCTACAGTTCTTGCCATGTATTCTTGAAAACGATCTTAGCGCTAGGATGTCCTAGAATCAATGTTGGAAGATAAGACATCCTAGCGCTAAGATCCTTTCGAGAATATGTGGCCTTAATATTAAATAAAAAACATTACATCTTAACTGTTAATGAAATATCAAATATAATCAGATGTATCTGGAAATTTCAAATAAAATTCAACGATGAATCTACATAAATATCAACGCACATAAACAAGTTTTGTATTCATACGCCATATTATCACATGAGATACTACAGTATATCAAAATATAAGTTGGGGTTACTGGTTTGTAGTGATATTAGAAATGTAATCATTGTGAATATACTTACAATCAGCTTGTCTCCAGGACAAATAATCTCGTAATATCTGGTCATTAGGATATAGAACTATCCGACTGTCAAAAGATGGAGGGTATTGAAGGTCCTGGGTACTAAAAAATCTCGGCCAAAACATGACAAAAGCTGAGGTAAATAAACTGACAACATTGCTGACTATTTTACTGAAATATAGTTCCTATTTTTTACAATAATAAATATTTTCATTTTTAAGATAGTGCCAAATACATCAATTGTAGAGCGATATAGAAATACCACTGTTAAAATAGTGCTCAATACATCAATTATAGAGCAATATAGAAATATCACTGTTAAAATAGTGCTCAATACATCAATTATAGAGCAATATAGAAATATCACTGTTAAAATAGTGCTCAATACATCAATCATAGAGCAATATAGAAATACCACTGTTAAAATAGTGCTCAATACATCAATTATAGAGGGATATAGAAATACTATTGTTAAAATAGTGCTCAATACATCAATTATAGAGCGATATAGAAATACCACTGTTAAAATAGTGCTCAATACACCAATTGTAGAGGGATGTAGAAATACCACTGTTAAAATAGTCCTCAATACATCAATCATAGAGCAATATAGAAATACCACTGTTAAAATAGTGCTCAATACACCAATTGTAGAGGGATGTAGAAATACCACTGTTAAAATAGTGCTCAATACATCAATCATAGAGCAATATAGAAATACCACTGTTAAAATAGTGTTCAATACATCAATCATAGAGCAATATAGAAATATCACTGTTAAAATAGTGCTCAATACATCAATTGTAGAGAGATATAGAAATACCACTGTTAAAATAGTGCTCAATACATCAATTGTAGAGAGATATAGAAATACCACTGTTAAAACCGTGCTCAATACACCAATTGTAGAGGGATGTAGAAATACCACTGTTAAAATATTGCTCAATACATCAATTGTAGAGCGATATAGAAATACCACTGTTAAAATAGTGTTCAATACATCAATTATAGAGGGATATAGAAATACCACTGTTAAAAAAGTGCTCAATACATCAATTATAGAGCGATATAGAAATACCACTGTTAAAATATTGCTCAATACATCAATTGTAGAGCGATATAGAAATATCACTGTTAAAATAGTCCTCAATATATCAATTGTAGAGTGATATAGAAATATTACTGTTAAAGTAGTACTCAATACATCAATTATAGAGCAATATAGAAATACTACTGTTAAAATAGTGCTCAATATATCAATTATAGAGCAATATAGAAATACCACTGTTAAAATAGTGCTCAATACATCAATTATTGTAGAGCGTAACATTTTGTTATGCAGACAACTGACCTATTTCAGCCTACATCCTTTATGAAATATAAATATATAGACACAGCTTTATGGAACAACAATCACTAATTAAAGTTTTATGTAACATTTCGACGTGTTTTCCCCATTGTCCTCCACCTAGTTTGATATTTTTTGATAATTTAATGATCCAACATAGTTCTTGATTCATATTGACTCTGGGTTCTGGGCATTGATAAATATTTTCTCAAACCGACAACAATCTTGCCAAGGTTTACGCTAGGCCTATATCAATTTTAATTGAATCTGGGCCATCTATGACATCTTCAGCCAATCAGTGCCTTTGACAGAAATAGTTGAATATTTGGTAACAGAGGGCTGTGGATGGTTGTATTCGTGAGACAGTGAGAGTAAAATCCCATCAAATGGCTTTATTTACAAAATTCGTAAAACAAGAAAGGTGGCTATTGTGGTCAAGGTATTAGACACAGTTCGTAGTAGCTAGACATTAAGAAGATATCGGACATCATACCTTAAGTATTTGCACCTTGTTAAGGTAATATATCAGATGTATAATGTATATTTTTTATTTATAATGAATAATAATAATGTGGTACCTATTTCTTCTGTTATAAACTGAGGTATCTTTTTTAAAAACAAAACTAAATTCATCACTTTGTCCATAAGCTAGTACAATATCTTTAAAATCTTCTAAAACTGTCTGAGCAGCACGACACATCAAACCCAGAGCTCGCTCATCATTCGGTTTAACAAAATGGTGGACATCAGAAAACCTGGAATATTAACTTATTTTGTTGTAGCGTGAATTAGAGTTCAATCAAATTTGAATATAAGAATAACAGTTGGTAGAAGGAGAAACTTTCTGGCTTGATCTTCATGTTTGGTCACATGTCTACATAGTAAGTATTGTGAAAATTGGTTAAAAACATGAAGCAAATTTCCTTATTCTTAAACTTGGGGACTTGTCTTTGATCCAGAGCACAAGGCCTTTATAAAGACAATTCTAAATTTAATATAAGTTGAAACTAAATCAAAAGGTCTGATGTAATGATTGTCCTCACCTGTGAAATGATTTCCCATCAATTCGAACGACAATCCAACATCCTGGTAGACATTTATCTTCTAGTTCAAAACTCTTAACGTATTCAAATTTACTCTTCGCCATTCTAGTCTGTATATAAACTGTTTTACACTGAGTTAGTCGATGAAGTCTGCTATATAGAGATTTTATAATCATTTCATTCTTCTATCTCTTCTGCTGAATTGTCCTGAAATAAAAATCATCTCGATTAATCAAATTTGGAAAATTTGAATCTGTCATCAATCACTTAGTTTTAGTGGAGTTGCAGGAACCACAGACATCTGAATGAAATTAAAAAGGTACAAAATGATGATATCAGTGTCCCCAATTATCTTTTTAAAAAAGCTTGAAAATCTCTTTTTATTTAAATGCATTGAATCAACATTTTAAATAAAATGGTACAAAAAAATTAGGAAAAAACCATGCGACAAATGCCAATTATCTTAAAATTCAATGTATTATTTCAGCTTGACTGAATCAGCTAGTATTTTATTGAATACAAATAATAATACTACTACTAAATCACTCATTACAATAGATAGTAACCTAAATATTTCTACTATTATTAGTCTATGAATAAAAGGTAAAGTAGGTTATGTTCTTTATCATTAAATTTGACTTATTGATCTACCATTCAAACATAGACTTTTTCTTTTTCTTCTCTTTTATAATTTCTCACCCTTCATTATATTTATTGCAAAACCACAAAATATTTCAAACATGACTCAAAGATAAGGACAATGAATTATATTTGAAAATAAAGCCAATTTGAAAACTATTTAAAGACAAAGATATAAAATTTCAGAATGTCAGACTTGGGAATTTGTTGTTGTTGGGGTCCAAAATAAGGTCCAGAAAAGTATGACTTAAAACACCAGTTTCACTGCAGACATACAATTCAGAAATCACAAGAAAATTTCATTAGTTTAGATGGATCAGCAAAAAAAAAGCAAATCGTGCCAATATGTCGCTTTTGAATTTTCATTGAATTTATATTTCAAATGTCTTCATGGTATTTTCTTGTAGTATTATATTTCCAAAGTAATTAATAATTTTTCACTCAGAAATTCAAATTGCCATTGTCAAATCATTTCAAAAAAGGCATACCTGGTTTCAGCAAAACAAATTTTTAAAAGACAACAAAGCAATCAAAGAATTCAAAAATTTAAAAAATTGGTTTCCATTATCAAAGAGGGAAAAATACTAGACCTACCAAGACAATCCAATTTGTAAACTAAACCTAATATTCCACTATATCACACTTGACTTGTGATATTGAATTATACTTGACGTTCAAGACAAAATTGAATAACAAGATTAGACATGATTATCAAAGAAAGGGATTAAAGAGTAGATAATGTAATTTGAATATGTAAGGATAATCAAATAACAATGGGCCAATATTGAGTTTATTGCCCACTTGACTGACTCTTAGAAGTAATATATGATATATACTGTATATGTAATATATATTTTGATTCAGGCACTTGATAGAAACTTAATAAAGAATAGATATTGACCTATAGTAGAAAATAAAATTAAATAAAACAGATATAGAGTACAACATGGAAAAGGTTGAATTTCATCCCATCTACAGAATTCAGCATAAGTTATAACTTAATGGGACAGGTTTGCCTTTTTTGGGGGTTAATTTAGGTCTGAAATATATGTAAATGGTCTTTAGAAGTACTAGAAAAGTACGAAAATCACATTATACCTTCATGAAAATATATCAAACTAGTAATTTCACTTTGTATTTCTATGTCTTGACTATCTTTGATGGAGTCTCAAGAAAGATGTGTAATTTTTTTTAACATTTTTGGATTTGAAGGATTAAATATTTAAAGTGAGCTGTGAACACCCGCTGTCAGTGCCTTATATTGAATAGTAACTTGATTGGTCAAACGAACGGCGCACCTGTCTCTTCATAATGATAACCAATATGTAGGTCTGGTGTTATCCACATTCTGAAGGAAAATCCATACACAAGCATAGACTAAAAATACAGTTGCCACTATTCTAGCCTCTGAAAGCTATTTTGCATGTTGTCAGCTGGTGTAGAGACAGAAAATCTAGGCCCTGTCTCATGTGGATTTTCTGCATCTCTGAAGGTCCTGGAGTTTTAACCCTATTTAGATACCAGAGGGCAAGGCTGGAATAGAGATGCAGATGCAGCCTCGTCGTTAGAGTGGGGTCCGTGCGGGTTGGGACGGACCCAAGCAAGTGAGAATTAAGTTCCAGCAAAACATTCTTCAGTTCTGCAGATTCATTTACATACACAAAATCAAAAAGATATAGATTTTGATACGTTTTTGGCGCCTCAAAATTCTCAGAAATGAGTTCTCTGGGCGTTTAATTCATCAAATTTTCCGAGTTCAAAATCTGAGCCCCATCACCAATTCATTTCTGGCAACAGGGCTGCGCGGATGTTTCAAACAAACACAAGCAATGTGATATATGGTATATTACTCTCTGAAATCCAACACAGATTAAAGTGTTTAAACGCTAATATTCAAAACAATAACTATTGAAATATATTAAATATAGAGTTCGATAGGGTTATAGTCAATTTGGCACTTAACCAAAATGGCCCCTAAAATTAGTCGTAATGGCCCCTAAAAATTAGTCAAAATGAACCTAGAAAGGCTCTTGCACAGCATACCCTGTCCCTGTAAAAAAAAAATATCAAGTGTTGTTGGCATATTGTTTGGCTGTTCTTAGTCTCAGTTGACCTGTTTTTATATTGAATAAATCTCATCTATATAAAATATGACTCTAAGTCTAGTTATGATTTGGCAATATGGGTCAATTTGACTATTTATTCCATTATTTTAATCCACAGGATTGTCAAATTCTAAAACCTCCAACTTACTTTAGAATAAATGAAGACTGGTGGGATAATGCAGGCTATAATATATATGCTTATCCAAGGATAATGTAATTTGGATTCTAAATTTGAAATGATTGTGATGAAAAATTACAAACGATGTGAACACATGGGCTAACCTAAAAGTGTAAAGTTACGATAAACAGAAACGCAGTATGATTATGTTTGAATTTCAGGATATATTCATTAAATCAGGAGTCCTTTCATAATTAATTTGAAGCTTCTCCATTGGTTGAAAACATTTTTCAAAGCTTACACGAAATTCCAATCCGGTTAAAGTAGTTTTGAAAGTTGAAAAGTCTTCGTTTAGGGAAAAAAAACGAAGTTAACAATTTTAAGTAGAAATTCTGGAAATACCCTAAGGCCCGTAACTCGTCTGACATCATTCTATAAATAGAAACACCCAAAATTTAGTCTTTTTCTGTGGGAGTTTTGGAGACGTTTTAGAGTTAATGAGGTTTGGACATAAAGAGCAATGCCATTTTTGTAGTAGTAGGTATATCTCTTGAATTTCCAGTATGGTGCAGTCGAGGAACGATTCTCATTCTGTGAATACTTATGACTTAGGCTTTTGTTTTGAAATTGGATACAACTTGATTAGGATAGGTTATTTAGATTAAATGGGCCTCAAATAGAGTTCAGGGTTCACTTTTTAATGTTTTTCTTTAATATCTTATCACTTGATAGCCTGATGCACTGTAGTATAATGAAAATGATGGACTTCAACACAAGAAATTGTCCCATGTCTGATGTCATGTCACGCTAATGTCCGACACTTATTTAGAGTCATTGTAAAGGTGATTTAATATTATGTTAGAAAAAACGCATCTCTGGAAAATACCTATTTAACAGGGCCTTTTTCTTCTGACTCTACTCCAACCGACAACTGTCAAAATATCCATCAGAGGCTGGAATAGAGGCAGATGTTTCGGACTACATATCTTAATGGCTATTCATATTCCTATTCAAGATATCACTGTGTTTACCCTTGGAAAGACCAAGTATTGATGTGCAAAAGTATGAAAGGATGATCGTTCAGATCTAAACCAGCAACTCAATCTTTGAATATAATGGTGAAAAAACACATTTCTCATTATTGTTTATGGTTATTAGCCACAATTGAATGAATCTTGGACCAAAGCAAGTCTCGCAAATCTAAAAACATTCAGAACAGAAACTTTAAGTCTGTCCATGACGGATTTCTGAATGAACCAATGAAAGTTGATGTTTAACCGATGAAAGTTTATAATTTGAGTTGTTAATATTTTAGAAGAACCAATGAAAGTTGATAATGAGTGGTAGTAAAGTGGATGTGAAGGTTGTTTTATTGGGGAAATCGTACGCTGGTAAAACATGTTTAGTAGAGAGGTATATACATGAACGTTATACTGGAGATACAGTCCCTTATCATAATGTAAGTTTTTAACTATCAACATTGCTGGAGCTTGGAATGACTGTGTGATAGTGAACAGAATTGAATTACAATGTACAATTTAGTCTTCAATAAATGGAGAAAAATACTGTTGTAAATTATTGAATAAGATGTTGAAACAAGAAATAAAGGACTTTGGTGGGTTCATTACTGTTTTGAATAATCCACAGATGTACACAAAATATATATTTGTTTTGCTATTCCTTTACTGGACTATGTTCTGAAATGAAGTGAATGGAGTTTTCGACAACCCTTATTGCACCTTCTGGGCTAATGAAGACGGGCAATGGGCATGAAACCAGGTGAAAATTAACAGAAATCAGAAGGTATCATCTTGACCTATGCCGAGAAAGCACCTAACTTACTTAACCACAGCGTTGATTGCATTCTTTATTATCAATTGTGTTATTTTTGTTTATCTATTTCAGACAATAGGTGCAGCTTTTGGTGCTAAGAAAGTCACAGTAAATGGAAAGTCAGTAGTGCTTGGTATTTGGGTATGTAGAATAAGTCTGAATTGAACCTTAAATGAACTATATTTGTCATAACACTTCAGCTATTAGGAGAGACGTACAGTCTCCTTTGGTTTTACATACAGTTTATTTCAGCAAGCCCTATAACAAGTTCAGGAATCCATTTAAACTTCTAAATAAAGCAGTGTTCATTATACAAGGATATAAAATAGTGTTAGTGGTACTGTGGGCTTTATCTCTAGCTAGTGCCTACCATTGAATAGTAAATTGTTGCTCAATAGTAACTTTTTACTTTCAATCATGAATCTCTTGTCTAATTGACATTAATGTGTCTGATTTTCTGTATTTTCTGTTAAATTACCGGATACTCAAGAAATTATAAGTTTTTTTATCCCTGATTCCAGTAATTTTCTGTAATATTTTAGGATACAGCTGGTAGTGAGAGGTATGAATCAATGAGTAGAATTTATTATAGAAATGCCAAGGCTGCAGTGTTATGTTTTGATCTAACAGATAAATCTAGTTTTGACAGAGTTCGATTCTGGATTGGTGAACTACAGGATCATGAAGAGGTTTGTTAAAGGGATTTTCTAAATTTTTTATGTGTATCTAATGGCATTGTTTTGAATCCTTCCATTTTTCAGTCAGATTTTTGCGGGTCTTTCAATTCCACTAGAACGAAGTGTTTATGACATTGCAAAAGTTGATTATAATATCTAAGAACCTATGTTACAGTGACAACATAGCCTCTAAATACGTTACCTTTTATTGTACGCCCACAGATAGTTTGATGGATTCTTTTGATGTTCAATTTGTGGGTCAATGTCATTATGAACATAGGTCAATTTGACGGACCATTTGAACGCTTATTGAGCAATGGGTGTGGTACTTTATAGTTAGTACTCCAATCAAAACAGTAAACAAAATAGTATGCAATAAAAGTTGAACTGCACATGTGTCTGCACACTCGTGGTATCACTACGCCAAGCCCTGAGTGCAATATTGAAAACATAGACACTTAAGTGCGGTTCAACCATTTTATCTATATAGTACAACTGAAGGCAAAAATCTCACTCTGTATGCCCACACTAATTATGGAAGCATATTGTCATTCGTTTGTCGATAAAAACTGGCCACAATGCGATACAATAAAGTTCGCTTAAAATTCTCTATAATAGACTAAACACAAACCTAATGTGTATGGACAATAAACAATGATTTGTACTTCAATCAAAGCTGCTGGTGAGCGTATATCACCTTTCTTCGCGAGGCGATCTTACCTTTGAAAATGAAATGGACTGGTTGTGTTTTTGTTTTGATCGTACCATGATGAGCAAAAAAACCTTTGCTTGTCTAAAAAAAGCATTGTACTATTATATGTAATTGTAGAATTGTAAAATATATTTATGTGGTACAAAGAAAGACATCGTTGATGATGATTCTTCCCATCGTTCTGTAAATGAAAGAGAGGCTCAAGCATTAGCAACAGGTACATACCATTTTACTCTCATTTTAAAAACTAAATTCTTTTACTTAAATTACTTTTAGGGCAGAAAATTTTACTTCCAAATTTATTCTAAGCTTAAAGATGGGTTTCCTTATTTTTTAGTGTGAAATAAAGCAAACTATTTGATTAATTGGTGTTTCTACTGAATTATCATTTATTCTTAACCATATCATTATTATCTTATTGCATATAATTAATATTTTTAACTAATCATAAATGTCCATGTATGTACTGTCTGGTTAAACAAAAAAAACTTTTTGACCTTTCTTGATCACTCATTGGAATTCTGCTGGTAATTACTAATTTAGCTAATTATTTGACATATGAGACAAACTGATATTTTTCTAAGTCATAAGAACACTTCTACTTTCTATTCATATAAGTATAATCATTTTCATTTTCATAAATGGAAACAAGGGAACCCATCTTTAAGATCAACATGTAAATTTTTCAAACTTTCAAACCTTATTTTTAATAAATAGGGTTCCGTACATTATTATGCCATTGATGAAGGCCTTGATCATATTCTTGATTAATATTCTATTAATTTTTACACAATGTCAAATTATAAATTTTGTCCTCGATTTATTTAGGATATAACGTTGTTTATTGTAGATGTAATGGCAGAATTATACGAAACATCCAGTAAAACTGGGGAAAATATACGTAAGTTATTACCAAAGATTATGATATGATTGATATTAGCTCCACCAATAAATATTTTCAAACGCTAATATGTAACTTTATGCAATGCTGCAATTGAGTTTATCTGCTCAGGAAGATTTTTCATGAAAAAAACTGATTCAAATAGTAAAATTCATCCAATACATGAATCCTACACGTAAATCAAAAATCAAAGTTAGACATAGCTGGTAAAAGGCAAGAACAAGCACTGGGTAAGCATTTATTTCCCAATAAAGATATCAAGAATTTTGTTCATTCTTTACGTCAAAGTCAGACGTAACTGGAAAAATGAGAAAAATTGAACAGTGAATTGAATTAAAACTTGAATACATTGTTTTTACTTGTTTTCTACTAACTTATTATAAAATGTCATAACATTGTACTTGTATTGTTTTTGAAGGTGAATTATTTACAAAAGTAGCTCAAGATTATTTAGAGAATTTAAAACCAGAAGGTAGGAATATATTTTACATTTCTTTCTTGGATTTTAGGGGATGAAAGTCGACACTGGCTGGTGGAGGATTTGGACCCATTGCACCTAATCGCCTAACAGACTCCCTACTGACTGAGTTATTCCACTGATAGTTTGATAGCAACCAGGGCCCTATTCAACAAATTGTCAAGAAATAGTATAACAAATGGTCTCCCCCAATTTTTATACGCCCACACTTTACACTAACTCACTATTTTTACAGGACTCTGATAAAAGGCCCCACAACAGAATTTCTTGTCTTATTTTCAGAAAAAGCAGATTCATTTAATTTAGAAGAGAAGAAAGGGAAATTCCCATGTGCTTGTAAAGAATCTTAATGTACATGTAGGCCTATTGTTTTTTTTTTTTGCTTTTTTTGGATTACAACATGGCTTTTGATTATATTATTAATCTACAGATAATTGTCATTTCTTTCTTTAATGGTTACAAATGTTTGCTTGTTATGCTGGCCATTAAGGAATTCTTTCACAAAAATACGGCTTTGTATAATGTGTATTGATTAACGATAGCTTCTTGAATATGTCCAAGTATGTGTTTATATTTTAAGGAATTGTAACAATGGCTATTAGCAAATCTGCTGATCTACCAGTTTGAAATCATGTGATATCACAAATTCTTATATAATTTGTTCGTGTTATTATCAAATATCTTAAGTGAGCATCTATTAAGTTATATTTTTCCCTGGAAAGATATTCCTCAAGAGTTTTATTGTGAACAAATAAGAAGTTTATTTATTTGTATTTTGTCATTTTCATGTTATGGACATTCTCTTATGAATATGATTTTGTGAAGTGAAATTAAGAACTCACTCAACACTCCTTACATTCAAATGTTGTGATAAGAACTTGGCTCTCAGTCTCGAAAAAATCTTTCAATAGATTGTCACAAGTTTTCCTTTTATTATATAATATGCCACGCTTAGCATAAATTTAGATTGTCAGATGAAAGAATTGTTTTTCTCTGTATACATTTTCATACTTAAAAATTCAAATTTTTATCTGAAGTGTGTATAGTTATTTATCTGTCATGGTAAGAGAAGCTTCAATTATTAATGTACCTCTTTGTATAATTTGAAATGTTATTTGTTGAAAGTTATCTGTTATAAAAGTTAGTGTTCATGTTTTATATTCATTTGGTGCAATGTATCAGATCATTTTTTGAATCGATTTCATACTTTACATACATAGATGTCAGTCAATCTGTTCAGGTTTTTCTCTAGCAGACAACAGATGGGGCTTACGTAGGCGCACAAACCAAAAGTTATGATATGTGTCTTTCCAATTGATCAGAAATTTACGGTTAATGTTTCTATTCATTTTGCCAACAGACTTACAAAATCCACCAAAAATTGGGCAACAAATAATAATGAGTTGATAGTAAATGAAGCATGGCCATTTATTTTTCCCCTCCATTTTCAAATTAAATTGACTGATAGTTTTCTAATTGATATTATATACTAATGATCTAGTCAATAGTCCTCACAAAAATTATAACAAATTTGAAATTAGTTGTTAATTCCTTCAAAATAACGGGCCTTTTTCTCGACAACTTAAATAGTATAAAATCCAGATTTTAAGAAATTCAGTTATCTGATTGGATAATAAAACTGAATTTAAAATCAATTTTAGTGATTGACCAATCAGATGATTGCAACACTAAAATCATAAGATTAAGTTTTCCAGAATAAGGCAAGGTTAAAGCTACCATGTTCTCTACTGTACAATTATCTTGGTGATTTTTTAAATGATGTTAAGGAAAAGTTTCAAATATGATAAAGCTACTTATGTTCCACAAAACCAGTCACATGGGTCAGTTTATTAAACAGCTGGGACCCCGAAATATCAAATTGACCCATATGAAGGACTTTGTGGTGTTGTCTGTCACAAATTTGCTGGGTGTTCAGCACTGTTCGGCTTTGATTCACGATTTATTTTTTTGTATGGATACTTTGGAAAATCTAGAGCTTATCTGTATTTGTGGTAATTGTTCATATTTTGTATTTTAAAACAGTGCTTCTCAACAGGGGAGGAATTCCACCCCAAGGGAAGAATTAGAAAACTGGGAAGGAGTTATTGTCAAGGTGGGAAATGGGGAGGAATCGTCGGACCAGAAATTAAATGGGAGGCAAGGTGATCTACGATGTCATTTACTCCGGACATACAGAAAATCGTTAACGAATATTAGGCAAAAGTGTCACATTGAATTATATTGATGTGTTTAATCGTTGCATACATTTTTTAAAATGACTGATTTATTTTGGGGAGGCATAAATTTGGAAGAACTCTTCATGGGAGGAATTATCTCAGTGAGGTTGAGAAGCATTGCTTTAAATTCATTTCAAAGGTATTAAGTCATCTAAATATAACTTAATAGTAAGGATTTATATGGGAAAGGGGGGTAATGTATTTGATCAAGGATTCTGAAATGGGTACCGGTAATAGAAAGAAAAAGGTTTTAAACCCCCGAAGTCTGGTATATGTATTCATTTAGGAAGATCATACATGTTAGTGACTTTTAGTTTGAAAATAGGGATGAAAAGTTCAGTGAGGAAATTTAATATGGTGAGGAAAGAGGCAAGAAAAGGATTATGACGTCTTCTGTAGATACTAAATCCTGCTCATGTAACCCCTTATTGAGCTATCATATTCAATATGTAACTCGTCCCCCTCAACATAATAACCGACTTCAGTAGGCGTCAAGAAATTACTCCTATGTAATTACAATGAGTCATGGCGACCATGACTTTTCTTGTATCACTGAAGTTTGTGTAAGCAGCAGTCTGATTGGATTGTACACTCGGGAATACAGCCAATCAGAGCTCTGAACGAAAATTCAGTAAACAATGTCTTATTTTCTTACAATCTTTCTGTCAAGGGATCCTATTGGCTGTAATGGTGTAATCACTAGCATGCAATCCAATCAAAATGTTGCATTCACAAACATCTGATGCAAGAAAGGTGGCTATTGTATTCAAAGCATTAGACACAGTTGGTAATATTTGACAATATGAAGATAATGAAAGAAAGATGTCAAGTCTGGTATAATTATAGAGTATATTTTTTAAAGGAATTAATATGTATATATGATTGTTATATATTTTCATGCTTTATATGTCTTCTGTTTAAATCCAAATAAAACCAAATTTAATTTCATGTATTTCCATCTGCCAATATTGTTATTATTCAAATACCTATTAGCCTTAATTTGGAATCTTTTTAATGTAGCAGACATATTGAGAGACAAGTGAAGGCTAAATTGGAAAAAGATTAAAAAGCCCTATTAATTAAATGTGTCAGATTATCACATCCTGGTTATTGGCAGTACAAAAAAAGATAAATTGCATAGATCATACATACTGGGTACAGTTCAACACATTACAATTCTTCCCAAAAGACATAGAAAAGTTTTCTTCACACTGTTCGGTCGTTCCATATAGTACATTGGCAGAGTCAAAGGGGGGCAGCCACCCCCCTCGCAGCACTGAAAGCAAGTTTTTCGGGCAAAAATCTCATAACTAGGTTAAAAATTCAGGCAATCTCAGATATTTTGTCTCACCCTCGGACGTAAACCTGGCTCTGCCACTTATATAGTACACAGCTGATGTGGAGATTCTGCATCAATTTTTTATTGGGTAATGGTTATGGATTGAAAAGATGTCGTGTTGTGTTGTGCCTTGACCTGTTGGAATTGGTGTATAAAGGCCTGCAGATAGGGGCATATCTGCCTGAAGGGGAGGCCAAAAAGGATAGGTGTCACTCCCAGGCGAGGGCGACTAGGGGCCGCTAGAGACTCTAAGAAGCGAATGGATTTCAGATTGTCAGCAGCACTGCGTTATCATATCCTTCCTATAATAACAATATAAAATACTTCTGATATGTTTACAACGTTTTAATGACACTGCAGGAGAAAAAGATTTTTTTTTTACTACATTAACAAGCATTCTTAAAAGCAGTTGATAAAATATTTATATGTGATAATCGTGACTAGTATATTCATAGCCTTGATCAATAGGTCATATCTCATCTTTAATTTCATCAAATCATCTAATTTTTACATATTTTATAATTTTATCCAATTTCAAAACTGTTAGAATTCTATTCTTTATCACAACCAATCCTACACGATTTCACAATAAAATTGCACTTTTCATTACTGAATCATTGATCTGATGAAATGGCACAATTAGCTGATATTTTACAAAAAAATTTGATATTTTAGTCTTTAATCATACAGACATAAAATAATCCCTTTAAATTAGGGAGTTACGTTGAAAACAAGAATTGTCTCTTTGACGTTCTAGAATAAGCATAAAGCTACGTTCAATTCAGAGAAGGATCAAAAAGAAAAATTGAAATTCTTGACGCTACAAGCTATTTTACTGTTGGTGCTTTCCTACAAGCAGAATAAATGAATTGTGATTCACAGAATAAATGCTGTTTGAATTGAATATGAATTATCATATACATACATATAGAGTTGTTAGCATGCTTGAACTATGAATATTCTTACAAAAATATTCTCTTAAACATCAAATTTTGTACCAGTCCAAGACCAAATAGTTTCAACTTTAGCTGCATCTAAACTTTCAAGCATTTGTCCGTGTTGTTGGCTTTGAATTAGGAAAATGGTTTAGACTGATTCAATGGTCAGCTTTCATGAAGTCAAGTCTAATTTCAAAATTTAATATTAAAAGAGAATATTTTTGAATAAGAATTCTGTGAAACAACCTAAATAAAAACAATGACTGTACACTGGCGACACAACCTTTCAATATAACATTCTTATCATCACTTCTAGATTCTTATTGATATAAGCTTACAAATATATCTGATAGCCTTAAAGACTTATCTTTACCATTATGGCCTTACCAAATACTGAAGGTCAATACAATACACAGGCACAGAATCCAGAATCCTGTCAGCACCCATACCAAGTGTATTCCTTTATATTTTCTACTGTATCAATAATCCTGATTTAGACACACACTGTTCGCACCTTTTGACTTCAAAATTAGATGTAAATTTGGACAGAAAAATCCTGCATATACATGTTCAAGGTTTTTCTCCAGATATATATGGACAATTACTATAAATTACACTTTATTTATTCTATCATGCAGTCAAATATTTCTCTAAATTTAAAATCTTCACAAGATGAACGATAAACGAAACATCTTTTTCAAAATCCTTGTACAATAAAAATCCAGAAGTGAAGGTCTAATATGTCGGGATTGGTTTTGAAGCTAAATGGCCTAGAGTCCTAATTAATTACGTTTACAATCAATATATAACGGCACAAATCTATATACACATCCTTTTAAAAAAGCTTATAATACATAATAGTGTAACAAAACAAAGAAAAAACAAGAAACTATGATAATAACTTGAAGTGATTACAAAAAATTAAAAACACGAAAACAGCTACCTTGAGTAAAACATTGGGTTTTAGTTTACTATCATCCCATTACAAATTATAACAAAATTCTCACTGATTCCTTCATTCTAACTCTGATAGCATCTTCACAGGGGCAGTTAGGCATCTATATAATTAGTAAATTTTACCCAAGTGAAAATAAATTTGGAGTAAAGAATCGCAAGAAATTAGTAGAAATCAAAATGAATTTTTTTCTTATATGACTTTCACAAGGGAAATTCTGTATGATTTTTCTTTCAAAAATTCAATTGTAATGAAATTTGGAAAATGCCCACATGAAAATATATTAAGAGTTGAGAATCATCAGGAATTAAATAAGTTGAGTAACAAAATGAATACGAAGATCAACTTAAAAGAGATATAGTCTGAATTGAAATGATTTGACATTCAGCCAACATGGAATCAAGAATTTCTAAAGAATTTCCAAAGTTTGAACCCCTCCTTGAGTTTTCTGTGAATTATAAATATAAGATGTAAGCTAAAGGAAAGGTTGATTAAATGATGAAATAATACTAAGTTTCATTTTATCCAACATGATAGGACCCCACTTCTAATGGCAGTGAAAATACACAGATAGAAATTATTATGGTCAATACTTGCTACAGAGAAAAATACATCTGATATTACCTTCTCACATAAACAGTTTGATGAAATATTTTCTTCCAATGACATTAACTAGCTTCCCAACCATTAGTTTAGTAATGTATACTGTTTCTAAAACTCCTCATTTGATTTTGAAAATTATCTTCAAAATAACTTTTATTCCATTGAATTTTATTAAGAAAAATATTTTCCTGCAAATCAACTTTTTCTTGTTGTTACATATATTAACATACCATATCAGGAACACTACTTCAGAATAATTAACATTAATTAATATATTGGCTAAATAATCAATACTGCTAACGAACATCACCTGTTTCTAGTTTTAATTAATAAACATATACTCAATACAATATATATATGGTAATTTATGCGCATAATTAAACACATAGGTAATAACTGTTTATTAATTATTTCTAATTGAAGAATAAATCTGGTTTGACAACAAATTCGTCTAACATTGAATGCAAAAAAAACTGAATATTCATAAGGCACAGAAATAATTCAAAAATAATTCCAAGTAATTAAGATAAAAAAGCTGTATCATTAATCAAAATATATACTGGTGAAATTGGACAAGAGAAAAGCACAGATTTGCATGAAAATGAAAATAAAACTAAACAATAAGAATACTTCATTGAGAAGTGAAATCCCAAACCCGCCACCCGATTCCCACTGTAAATAGTGTTTCACTCAATGTTAATAAAAACTCAATAAATAAAATGGAATGAAGGTCAACTAAGATTTGTGTAAGAAAATGTCGAGGAGTTAGTGCCAGAAACTGGAATAATTATTCAAGTTTTAAAACTAAATGTAAATAGGTTTATCAAAGCGACTGGACAGTGTCAGAGTTTCACAAATAGATAGCCTCATTCATTCATCGTATTAAAATCAGACAAAAGCATGGAAGCGCTGCATTATACAATATAAAACTATTACAAGCTTAAAATAAATGTACTGCTGAAAGAAAAGTCGATCATTTTGAAAAAGATGGTTTGTTTAAAAAAAGATTCATAACAGTGCATTTTGCTTCAAATATTAGTCTTCACAATGTATATCTAGTTATTATTTTGATGTTTAATTTGGTACATAGAACCTTCTTAAAACCCTTCTGTGAAATTTTGAGTGAAAAAGATCACAAAAGGGGAGTAACTTCGAATTTTGAAAATAATTTCCAACAAAAGAAAACAGAAAACCATGTCCATTGTATTTCTAAACGAAAGCTTTGAAGACTCGGAATAAGACTGTTCTTGTACCTCAGAAATTTACCCAATGGAATGAAAATTGCATTATTTAAATCAAATTTTATAAGAATTTTAATAGCGAATCAAAATAACAACTAATACCCATTATCAAATCACTATGGATGTAATTTTGTGTGCAGTTATCATGAAAAATGGCACAGAAATAAAGTTTCAGCACAATATTTAAGTGTAAGTAGCTGTAGATTAAAGAAGCTGTTCGCTTAAAGGAGAATATGGTCCACTGTAAATGAGATGGATATAATGAGGTTTAACGATGGTTTGTAGCAGTATCACACGGACAAAATAAAACTTTAAAACAACAAAATTCAACTAAGACTGAGCTAAGAGATGTCTAAAAACTGAATAATAATAATAATAATAATAATAGTATGTTGATGTAGTAAGAGAAGATGGCTGTTAAAATATATTCAATAAATGAGAGTATAAGATGAAACTTTAGTATTTTTCTGCTCAATACAGAAGTTAATCTAAACATTTTTTCAAAATGATGATCAAAAAACAAATTTCATTGTCTCAAATTAGCCTATTTTCTTTGAAATTCAAATTCATAATTGTTACATGCCTGTATTTGTATAGGTTTCAAATTTACATTAATGATTATCTTCATAGTTTTACAAATAAAAATCTTTAATTTCATTTCAATTAGAAACATAATTCCATTTCTAAAATAATTCTGAAATTGGTTCAAACAGGTGCCCTTTTAAAGCAGACTGATAACCAATAAGCCATTAGAACAAGATCGGAATAATAAAATTTACAATCATTAAAAACATGACGAGTCCAATATGATAAAACACTGGCTAAAGCAGTTGAAAAATGAAAGCAACAATAAAAAAAGTGAGTTTTATTATATTATATTCCTAGCCCGTATCGGCCATTTTTCACCTTTCTCAAATCGCACTTTCTTTCGCCTCCTTGTTTTTCTTGGTTTTGTTAAAACTCGGCATTCGAAATTTCTTCTTCTTTTTCTTTTCCTTTTCTTTTGTTGGGGAAGCTTGTTCTTTAGTTGGTGAGCCCTACAAAAACAAACATCAGGAACATTTAATTTGCTACAAGATTCAGGCTAGATATTTGAATGTTATGCAGAGAGCAACAAGGGAAATTTAGTGAGGACAGCAGCATTTCGATCTTTAATGTACATAGCCTGTAGAACACGGTGCATAGGTTTATTGTCCTATCCGAATGACTAGATGCTTCAGCCCAGTCCAATCTGCATCACTGACAAGGGGAAATCAGGTTGAAATATCTAATTGTCTAACTCATGAGCCACTGCACCTCCCTTTCATAGTAAAGGTCCCACTTATTTTATGATAACTTTTAAGCTACCTCTTTACTGGATCTATCTTCCAGTGTTTCTCCACCGCTAGCACTATCAGTTGAACGTAATGTATCAGACTTGGCTGGTGAGCTTGGTTTCTCGTCACCTGTAAATAATAAATATTATTCATTGAGAATCTTTATATATCCTAGAATGCTCATTGTATACCGTTTGTAGAGAGTTGCTAAGCGACCAGGTTCAGCATGTTCAAATCCTCAAGATAAGAATAATTCAGATTCCATTGCCAGTGGTTCAAAGAGTTGGCAGAGTGTCAGCATTCATCCTATCACTAACGAAAATAACAAGATTATGATTTTGCGTCATGATTTGCAAATATCATGGTAAAAAAATCAAATACTGTCTGCAAAAGCGATACCGCTCGTTAGTTTAATCAAAACCATCACCAATGTCCAAATGAGGTAAATTGCTCAAACAAGCAGCGTCATAAGATACAAATGTTCTTAAAAGAATATGAACACAGAAAAACCATCACCAAAATCCAAAATTCAAATATTGTTAGATTTGTCATCACCATGTGATGTAATGTATAAAACAAGACTAGATATAGAGTGCTAGTTATCTTTTTGACACCCCTCTTCTTTCTAATGAACCTTCCCACACATGCATTTTTCTCTCAATAATAAACTGTACTTGTTTGATTGAAAGAGTTCATTTGTAAATTTCAGGGTGTTTTTTGTTGACTGTCAATTTATATTCACCCTTGCATCAATATATACTCTAATATTCTACTCTCTACAGCCTGCATTGTGTACACAAGCTGACTATACCCATGCCTGTTCCAAGAAACAAACCAAAACCCAGAATAAAATAATGAAATGTGCTTAGAAAATATAGTGCAGAATTCAATAACATTCAAATGATAGCATGCAAAAATTGCTATAACACTTTACATAATGAATACATGCCCTTCTCTCAAAGATACATATACCAGTACCAACAAACTTCCAAATAATTGCCATGAATTTTTTAGATTTTTTATGTGTATCAGGGACATTAAGCATCAATTCGCACCATTCTAATTTTCAGTGAGACCTCTGTAAAAGATGTTAGTAAAACTAAGTGATTGATTTTGTCACTTATGCTTTATCACAAAAGGCCCTTCATGATTAGTGACATCATCAAATCCTTAGTTTTTGTGGATTGCTGGAACCACAGACGTCTGGATGAAAATTGGAAAGGTGCAAATTGATGCCTTCAGTGTCCCCGATACACATAGAAAATAAAGAAAACCTTTTCACAATCCCTATAAATGCAGAACTATCAATATCCTTTTTCACGTCAAATGTTTCACCTTCAAATTACATGATCCCAACGTGACCTCAGTGAAATGGGGACTTACCCTGGCCGCGCCTATCTGATTGAGATCTTCCAATTCCTTTTTGTTCCAATTCCTTTAACACTGAACATGAAGAAAGCAAAAATAACATTCATAGCTTTACATAGAGACATGCAAATTGTTATTTTCAATCTTCAACATACTTATAATCATTCTGATAAGGGATCAAGGTAGTGAAATCCAGTTCAATCAATAGGATATTTAAGAAATTTGGTGCCAAACCATAAGAATTATTGTTTGAATAAAAACCTGATCATCTTTAAGAATTAAATGTTGGTCTCACTAGCATCATTGGTGTGTAAACGCAGTTGATCACGTGAAAAACTGAATAAATGATGAAGTCATAGATTGCTTTGACAACGTCATAGTATCATGTGACAAACTATCGAAAAATAACCGCCAGTTTGCATACCTGGTTCATTGACAGGAGTGATAGTAGAAATATAAATATATTGAAGAATGAAAGTAACAATATTAGTGAAGAATATAAAATATCTATTACACAATACAACATTCAAATATATATTAGTTATTTATGATGGATGATAAGGATATTAACAATGTTTTTTTCATGGATAACAACATGTGTTCATTAAGGATGATCCTTAGCCAAACATCTTACCCACTTAAAGTTGGGTTTACTAATATTTATAAGGAAAGGTCACCAGATGATTAGAAAAAATGACCATAATATGGTCATACGTAACCGAGCAAATGATGTCAAGTTAAGTTTCTAACGTTCCAACCGACTATGCTTTAAAAACATTTTTTTTTGCATCAGTATTCTTTTTTATTCTTTGAGAGCTTTCTCTCTAATTGACCAATCATAGAGCAGATATATTTTACAAATAAACATTAAGAATCCTCCCTTTAAATTCCTGTGTATTGCTAGTATGGTTCAGTTATAGACCAAGGACAGTGATTTTATTGAATCTTTGATGTCATACATAAAAATTTTCAAAAATAGACTCACTGGTCTGCAGTAAATGAAATGAGATGAGAATTAGTATTAACAGCCCTGGGATTCATGCACGATACTTATATATACATATATATGACCTTGACCTCTATAAACAGGAAGTGACAACTTACCGGCAGGATCGCGGTGTGGTTGCCGTTCGGATTCTGAGCGTTTGACATTATTACTGGAGTCTACAGAAAAACATGCAAAATAAAGAAAATAAAAACGTGCGGAGACAACAAAACTGATACACAATGTGAATTTGCGAAAAAAGATATCTGTGCAGATGTGGGGAAGAGTCCAACTATGAACAAGATCAGTCCATTTGAATTTGAGGTAGAATAGCTAAGTGCAATTATCCAAACAGATTTTTAATGTGATCAGTGCTATTTAAACTACCTACAAATAAATTGGACTGCTTGTTATGTTTTGAATCTGCACAAATGTCTTTGCTAAACTTTAATAACATATACTAGAAAGTTATAGAGTCAGAAGTCAGAAAAAGGAAGTCAGGAAATCTTAAAAAATTAAATTTTGAAAAGAAAAATTAGAAATGCATAAATACTAAAATTTATTATTAAAAATATTATTTTATTTTAAAAGAGTCATGTTTTTATATTATCACCTTCTCAATAAGGAAACAGAATTTCATCCCCTTTTCAGAATGGAATCGTACAGTGTTTACAATCAAATCAAATTTGGCAAAATTACATCAACTGTGTGTTCATTTGTAACTTTTGTTTTGTATATTTCACTTATAAAGTAGTGTCTTATGTAACTGGAGAAAAGAACAAATAATTTTGAAAACAGTTTCATGAAAAGCGACAGCAGATCACTATGTTGTTGAGTTTGAATTGCTCAAAAAAGACGATCATTCTGAAAAGTGACACAGATCTGGTACCTGATTAATAAATTAAATTCAAATGGAATGAAATCTGATATACCATCACATGTTATTATGATGTAGAAGTTATTTTGGGTGTGTTCTGTTATATTTCCTTTCTCTCATACCACACCTCTCAATATGACACTATTGTCAGGTTACATGTTTTATTGAGATCATAATGAAATTTAATATGAATGATAATTTAATACACTGGGCAGGGCTGCTCTCTCTTATTTCAAATGCCAGGAATTATCATGCTTACATTCAGATTGATAACACCTGACCCTCCACTATGATTTTTAATAGTTCTTTATCCACAACCATATTTTCCATCACCAAAAATTTAATGTTTTAAATCTGATAGCCTTCATGTTAAATGCATGGATGAAAATTTGAAAAAGTTTTTTAAAATTGTAAAGATTAAGCATTATTAGATGGGATTATATCATAAAGGCAATAAGCAACTCCATATCCCCATTGGATCATTGTTTTATCACCTGCTATAAGAGAGGAATGGTGATTGCGAGCGTTAGAACGCCCTTGTTTTGGTGGAATTGGCGGGGCACGAAGCTCATCTAATAAATTTTCTACCTCAGCAAACACACTATCCTCCAATGGTATATCTGATTTCGTACCTGATTGGGGTAAAAGGCTATGATATATTTCTATAAGCAAGTAAGGGACAATATATTTGGGATGAAATAAATATTAGAATCCAGTGTTGATCTGTTGATGTTGAAACAGGATTTGTGCTTTAAAGGGATGGTAAAAAGGTTTTCTATAGAGAAATTGTGTGAAGGGGATACTGATAGCATCAATTTGCACCATTTAAATTTTCAATCAGATGTCTGTGGTTCTTGCAATCCACTTAAACTAAATGTATGATGATGTCAATATCGCAAAGATCCTTATATTTCAATAGCAGCTTTCGCTATAGTAACGTCTTAGTTTTAGTGGATTGCAAGAGCCACAGATATCTGACTAAAAATTGGAATGGTGCAAATTGATGATATCAGTTTCTCCTATATACATAAAAAGTTTGAAAGACCTTTTTACAATTCCTTTAATTAGGGGGTTTTATATTTTACCTTTGAATTCATGCTTATTTCACAGAACAGAGAAAGGGTGCAGTAAAGAAGCCAGAGTAATTTCCACACACAAAAGTTTATATCTAATCTACTTTAAAGGGTTATGACAGTCTTAATATTGAGATACATTGTCTGGTAAAGAAATTAATTAGATGACAATATACCTTTAGAAGGTTTGAATGTTACTACAAAATAAAATACAAACCTCAAAAAAGAGAATTGGTAAAGTTTCAAATTCAAGCTAATGCCAAAAAGCTTAGTGGGGATCAATTTCACCATTGAGTTTCAACATATATCTGTACTAGTCAAAATGCCTTGACATTGGCAAGACCTTAAACTACTTAACAGACCTTGAAACATTAATTAAAGTACTAACTGGTAGAATTAGGAGAATTTTTTTTTATTTGGAGCACGAAATACTAGGTTAGTCACATAAACGACTTCATGTGACTTTGCCATCTATATAAATGATAAGTTATTTTTCAAAATGACAAACACAGAAGAAGCTAGCCTGTGTAAGTACACATTTATTTTTCACTATTTTTCTAGAATAAAAGTGTTACCAAAGCTGGGACCACCTATGTTCAAGTTCTCTTTTACAAATCATGAAATGGCTCGCATATTCAGGATCGACATACAGCATTCATTATGCCAAAATTAATATTTTAAAAGTTCTAAAATTCCTTCCCAATTCTACCATAATAATTTGTTAAAACATCATTTAAACTATGTTTCTACTAAAATACAGGCAAAACAGACTAAATCACAATCACAGACTAATATTATTTTAAAAGACGACAAAAAATTCATTGAAAACATTGTCTTAATTCTACTATCTACTGCAGTGAGCATATCAACATACATAAGTGTAAAAACCAATCCAGGGCACTTGTAATCCTGGTTTGTACAATATCCAGGGCACTTGTAATCCTGGTTTGTACAATATCCAGGGCACTTGTAATCCTGGTTTGTACAATATCCAGGGCACTTGTAATCCTGGTTTGTACAATATCCAGGGCACTTGTAATCCTGGTTTGTACAATCATACAACACTTGGTGTCATTTGAAATCCAAGTTGTGATGGATACTAAAACAAGCAAAGATAATTTGCTTGCTCAGGTCCCATTCAAAATATAAGCATGACCAGTCTATTTTATTTTTAGGTAGAATTAATAGACATATAAACTTAACAAGCTGGATTTTTTATGTCCATTACTACTTACACTACCTAAAAATAAAGTGAACTGGTCATGTTTACGATTTGAATCTGACGCTGAGGTGTAAAACTTTCTAGATACAAACGTTCAGGAATTCCCTTTGAAGAGAGAATATTCCAATAACACTCTCTGTCAAACTGAAATCATTGTCCAAGAGGAATAATAAGCCAAAGAAGTTCTTACCATCCATTTTTTCATCCATGGATCTATTTTGTATTTGCTGTATACGTTCCTCGGATGATATCAGAATACCATCAGGTGCTGGCTTATCATCATCTACAACTGAAAATAAAATAAAATGAATTTTATACCTACTTAACGAGCAATGCCATGCACTAGGTTTTTTTTTAGGTATCTCTATGTGCACAGCATGAAGCACAAATGGCCTTTGTTTATTGTCCCATTCCAACAACTGGATGCCTCTTCCATGCCAGCTGCAACCTGCATCACTGATGGGGTTAAAACTCTCCAAAATCCAAAGGAATTGAACCCTTGACCCTCAGGTTAGGGAGCAGGCTTCTTACTAAGACACTAAATGATTTATGAAACCAAAACTTACAAATCCAAAAGGAATTGAACCCTTGACCTTCAGGTAAGGGAGTAGGCTTCTTACTCACTAAGACACTAAATGATTTAAGAAAACAAAACTTACTTGGCAGTCCCTTAGCTTTTCTATCAACTTCCTTTTCATATCGTTCTAGCTCATCAGATGTTACATTCTCGAAAGGATTGGCAGCATAACGTGATTTATAAACCACAGCATTATGTTGGTGATCTCTCTGAATAATACCCTTACTAGCAGCCCCTACTACAATAACATTATCTGCTGTTCCACTCAATGAGCCCTCCTATAATTATAACAAATATTATTAACTATGTGGACTCTGTAGAATAGATATTACTAGCAGCTCCTACTACAATAACATTATCTGCTGTTCCACTTAGTGAGCCCTCCTATAATTATAACAAATATTATTAACAATGTGGACTCTGTAGAATAGATATTACTAGCAGCCCCTACTACAATAAAATTATCTGCTGTTCCACTCAATGAGCCCTCCTATAATTATAACAAATATTATTAACAATGTGGACTCTGTAGAATAGATATTACTAGCAGCCCCTACTACAATAACATTATCTGCTGTTCCACTTAGTGAGCCCTCCTATCATAATAACAAACATAACTGGCCTCTCTAGTACAGGGACTGGATACCCTTTCGGTGCCCCTGAATGAGAGTACAAAGAATGACCCTCCATAGTACAATTTTGTTTTATTTCTATATCTATTGTTTTCACTAGGAAAATGTGTTGAAGTTATTGAAAAACAGCATTGGAGATTTTTTGCCAGTTGACTGATATTTACATAGCTTAAGTGACTCGTTGGTTATGACCTTATATCATATTTTAGTTGTCAGATTGAGAAGCCAGAAAGTCTCATAAAATATTACTGAAACTTACATTAATCTTCTGAGCCTCATCCCAAGAAACACCCTCCAATATTTTAGACTGTGGACCAGCTGATATAGCATCAGTATAGTAATCTTTACGTAGCTGAAAAATTCAATTTAGACATTTATAAAGGAGGACATGATTAATAGGTTTATAACTTAACTTTCTAAGTGTAACTAGGCTTCTATCTGCATCATATTGAAACTATAGAAACCAGATCAATAATGTGTCATAAAGGAATGGTCATGGCTGTTATCGTTATGGGAAAATAAAGGCTGGTTTATCATGGAATATAACAAATGACCCGTTAAAGAGTGTCAAGTAAGAATAGTCACGAGATAAAGTAAGGTTTATAATGATATGTTGGGTATATTGAACAAATTATTGGTCTTCTAAATATTACTACTAAAAACTACTGCTTATTTCAGTTTTAAATCCTCTTTAGATGGACACAGATGTATCTAGTAAAATAAACTAAAATTTCATCTACTTACTGCTCTCTGCTTATCTCGGAACTCTTTAGGATTTTCTCCCTGGGGAGCAAATTGATTAGGATTGTCTAATTTTATTGGTGTACTAGTACTAACTTGTCCATCAGGTACCCACTGCAATAAAAAGGTTATATTACATGATGGGGGTGGGGTATACATAAGGATTGAAATGGAGTTTTACACCCTACACATGTTGTAAGGAACCATATAGTGTATAATTAAGAATTAATTTTTCTAATTTTTTTCCTATCTTCTTATCTACACGATTAGATGATTGTCCACTGTTGGCCTCTTTAACTTGCATAGACAAATAAGAGAAGTATCCTAGCCAACCAGTGAAAATCTTCAACACAAAATATAAAGTCAATACCTTGGTTATTTTTTTAGGGTTTGTGGTACCGACTTCTTCAATCTCTTGTTTAGCATAGGTATTGGGTGAGGTCAACCAGCCTGCTTTATATGCCAACTTATTTTTCTCTCTTTTTACTGGTGACCTGAAATCAGATGGAAAAAATTCTAATAAACAATAGCTTATCTGATGATATATACTGGATGGCTTCTAATTCTGATTTATAATTATTATAATTTATCGAACACTCTTCGCATTGACTAAACTATAATCAATTTTAATACGTTAATAAGTTCATCTGTATTAAAATTTACAATAATGCTATAAAATAAAAACTTGACCTTTGTTTCAGATTTATGTATTACATAGTGCTGGGTGTTATAGAAGATACTTGATTAAATAATAAATCATATCTACATAAACTACTTAATATAATAAACTAAAGCACAAAACATATTGCCAAACAAGAGAAATATGAACAGTCCAATCTATGCCTGTTATGAAGGTGGCTTAGAAGATTTCCAAGCAACATTTGATACAATAGACCTTATTCACGCCTAGTTTTTGAGACACTGAAAGCGAGGTTCATAACACAAATATGGCTGTCACGTGAATTTTGCCGGATCAAAGAAGACAAATAATTTCTTTCATAAAAGCAGTTACTTACATAAATCTACTGTCTTCATCATTAAAGGATGTCGTAAAGGAACTGGCTGAGGGTGGTATTTCTACTTCACTGTTAGACTTATCTTTCTTATCTTGTCTTATTAATGGTTGTTTATAAACATGTCCCGTTCTAAATCCCTTTAATATACAAACAAGATGGATTGAAACAAGGGGTTAACTTCACTGTAGCACAGTCTGTTGAGTGTTGGTTATGACATCATTTGCTTGGTTACGTTTGAATAAATGGAGGTCGGGGATTCTAATCTTGGTCGGCATGTGAAAGTCTGGTGAACTTGAAGTCATGTTCACTCATAATTACAGTCGATCCAGCTGTAAATTGGTATGGAAAATCCAGGAATAAAGAGAACTCACAATTACCTCCCCTGAAGACCAGATTTATCATACTTACAGCATTATCAAGTTGTCTCATCATAGCTTCAAATTCTAATTCTCCAACTCTCCATTTTCTACCAGTAGAGCTGACACCTCCACCACCTTGGTTGCCCACTACGAAAGCTTTACGTCCAGCCTCCGAATCAGCTTGTATCAAATTCTCTAGACCAGCTGACATACAACTTATCTACAACAGAAAGACGACGTTCAATATATAAAACAAATACGGTGATTGTGTTTTTACATCCACTAAAAACTTCAACAAACCGATACACATCCGACATTCTCAAGGCTATTTGCACAACACATATTTTGAGATGACTTAGTGCTTATCAATAGCACAAATTTCAGATTTGGTATCATAATTGCAATCCAATCCAACTGTTTTTCTTATATTTTTGTCTCCATTCTAATCTAACAAGTTTATTTTCCAATGAAAAATCAGACAAAAAAAAAAAACAATGTTAAATTTGATTAAAGCTGTTACCACCATTAAATAGATGTTAAATTATTTAGATATCTTACCTGTACTGAACAGGCATACATAACATTGGTACAAAGGTGGTAGGCTTCTTCTATTGTAGCTCCACACGCTACTAATCCATGGTTTCTTAAAAACATCACCTAGAGAACCAAAATATTAAAATCAATTTCAGCTAGTCAAGATAGGTACTGAATGCTTACATAACTTTATCTGATTATTCAACGCCATTTGTCTGCATTTTGAACTTAGTATTACAGAAGAAAATAGACTAATTAATATTCCAATAAGATCAGGTGAAGTTATTGTGCCTTCTTACAAACCATTTGATTGGTTATATATTCTCACAGAGATAAACCGAATATTCAAGAACGTGTTATACAAGAAGAAGTAAAGCGCCTATAGATAAACTCAGATAAGATGATATATTCACCTTATTTGTTGGTCCTAAGTTTCTTGATAATTTGTCTCTTTCTTCTTGATCTACAAGGATCCCGTTAAAATCATGGTAGCTGACTTCACCACATATCATACCTTCCTGTGACAAGGGCAATAATCCACATTTCATTACTGATACCTGAAAATCAAAGAACAAAATTAGGGAGAAAGAAACAACAATACTTTACCATGTTCACAGATTCTTATAATCTTGTCTACCCGCCAAATCTCATAGGTTTTTCTGTATTCAACATTAGCTAATCAACTAAGATGTATAAGAATTCTTTCATAGCATATCATCAGAGAGTTAACAATCCTATGGCCCTACTAAGCCCCTTAAAAGTGATATACAGATGAGACATCATCACTATTAAGAGCAAGACATTTCATTTCTAAATGCAGTTTATCCAAATTCATTTTTTGGGTTAATAGTTTTAGAGAATTTTCACCAGACAAAGCCAAACAAGCCATCTATACAAGGCTAATCCATTAAAGGAAGTGAGAAAGGCCAGAGTTGTGGGGTTAAGACCAAGCTAGATAAGAAATATACCATCATTTTGTAGATTAGAGATAGATTTTTTGGAGGAGTCATATACTTACAGCAATAGCTTCTGGTGTATGAATATGAATGATACATTTTATATCAGGTCTTGCTTGATGGATTGCAGAGTGAAGAATGAACCCAGCTTTATTGATTCCAAAATTAGTACTGCCAGCATCGATTACCTCCCCTTGCATATCAACTTTGACAAGAGATGAAGCTGACACTTCTGAATATAATGTTCCAAATGGATTGAGTAGAAAATGTTCCTGTTCTTGACTGACTCTAGCCTGAAATGAAACAGAGGAAATACAAATATTATGGGATAGATTTCATTTTCAACGATAATTACTCATGTACAGTCAAATTTTCAAAATACAAATGATATAGTTCAATACTTATCAAATGACTACTAGACTCATAAATATATGGATTCAAGATAGGGGGCTCTGGAGGTTATGTTACCAGAATTTCAGCTGCCTACAAAAGCATGCAAACTATCTGAGCAGAAGATTTAATAATTACCAATAATATGCCGAGAAGGAAAAACTGAAATGCAATACTATAACTTACACTAATATGATTGTAAATACCGCTAGTCCATCCATGCATATCAATTAACCTATATAAACTAGCCAATTTACATCGTAACACTTTCTCAGCTTTACTATATCCCGTAGATTCTACACCACGAATGTCACTTATAGGAATGATTGGACCTGAAAACAAAAATAGCATTTATACAACATTGTTTTCATAGTTTGATTTCAAAATTAAAGGGAATGTAAACTGCAGTTATATATATTTCACTTATCAGGAAATATTAGATGTCTGGTTAACTGTTATTCCATTTTCAAGAAGCTTAACTCGATGTTCGCATCTAACTGTAAACCTAAGTTGTTCTAATTGTAAAATATAGTTGTTTCTTTCTCTCTTTCTTGCAATACAAGTGTACAGAACAGCCCCTGTTACCAAGTGTGCAATAAAAAAAAATCTTTTGCAAATTTCTCTTTTAAGAAGTCAAAAAATTCTTGAAAGAGCACCACATAACTTTTGTGATTTTAGTCTTAATTCCAATCAACAAGTCAATATCTAGAGAGGAATAGATTCAAATATTGACAATACCACAAACAAATTAGATATTCACTAGAAAGATAATATTGATAATTGGACAGCAAATAAAAATATCATTTCTCTATTTATCTACACAATATCAAATCAATATAGAATGTTTATTTTCAAATTTGTGTTCATATTGAACCTTCAAGTGATATACTCAACTTCTAAAGGTATAAAAAAGTAACATTTTTCATTCATTCACATTGATATAATGCCATTTTGATTAGTTGTACATCTCATTATTCTGCAACACGACAAATTTTATTCTGATGATGTTAGCCCTACTGACACTCTTGAACTCTCTTGAAAAGCCCTTCCTTCTTAAGGTGGGAATAGACAATGTACGGTGTCTGGTGCGGGATGATCGATATGGTAGATAATAGAACAAGTGAACACACAAGCTACGCATCTAGACACGATTCCCATTTACTATTTTCTACTGTATCGATAATCCTGCAACGTACACCGTACCTCGTCTTTTCGCACCTTAAGTCATGTCACTTTTCCTTTAGTACAACTGAAAACCTCTCCCAAATTCTAACCTAATTAAGTCTATGTATCTTTAACAATCAAATTTGTTTAGCTATTAAGTCATGTTCTTATAAATTTTCAACATTTGTCACTTCCTTTCCCTAGTAATCTAAGCAATGTTCCTTTTGGAAAACACATTTCAATACTTCACTTTACGTACCTTTAGCAAATCCTCTGCTACCTAACTTTCCTCCCGGTAATAAGAGTTCCGATATCTGTTGTAACGCAATCAAACTAGCTGGGTGGGGACCAGATAATATCTGTTCTTCTACGATCCGCTCTAACTCTTCTCGAAATGTTTCACTATTGAGTACAACCTGAACTCGACTACGCCCCTCCATTTGTTTCATGTCTTCTTTCACCTCGGCTGGTCGACGTAACTGTCTCTGATATTCAGGATCATCTGGATCTGCAAAGACAAGAAATTTCAATAAAGATAGGATAACATCTCGTGAAGAACAGGTATAATCCATATGTCTAGGTTATAGTTAATTGGTGACAAGACAAAGAAGGGAGTTCAAATTAGCACTCGCTCAGTTTACAAAAAATCTAAAATAAGCAAACTAATTCCTGAAAGAGGGCGCACTAGTGGACTATGGTCAAAACGTCATTTTAAAGATATAAAGTGGTTGTTATCAATGAAGACTTGTATTCTGATATCCCAGCATTCTAACCTTTTAAATCTCCCAACAATGATTTTATCATTAATGTAAATATTCAACACTATAGTTTTAGTTAGTATCTATCATTTAAATAACAAGTTTTCAAAAATTATTAAATAAAGAGAATCTACATAAAAATTAAAAATTATAAAACTCTATAGGACTAATTTACTTTCTTCCTTGTTCGACAGGATCATTCATACAATGCACCATTGTTATCTGTATTTATAAATTACATATTTAATTGAGAGGTAGATCTAGGTAATAACTCTGGCTATCTTTATCTCACCCTCGTTTAATCAAATTGTGTTTACTTTTAATAGTTTTGTTGTATTCTGAACATGACATAAACTCAATGGCTCACTTAAATTTGATAAAAATTTCTTACAATTGAGGATGTGAAATGCAAAAATGTCAAAAAAAGAGAAAATCTGAAATTTATGTCTGGACCCTTTGCTACTGGCCTTTTCTTTTGTGACAACATAAAAAATACTTCAATTTAAATGGTAATGAACGTTTTTAATATTAAAAACTGGTTTGTGTTATTCTATCTGAAATTTATCTCACAAAGGACAACTAATTTTGTCCAGCATGTTAAGACATTCATAAAACATAGAGTTAAGGAAAATAAAATAACAGTTTAAGAACTTAAACCCTGGCCATATTCTGGAATAATTTATGAATAATAAAGAATAAGTCATGTTTTGTTAATAATTTGTTAAATTAAGTGTAATGTTTTGGTTAGATGATTTCTATGTTAAGCTCATCTATCTCTCATCTGGGTTTTATAAAGAAAGCTTATAACATGGAAAGATTTTTATCTTAGTATTCCGAATTTTAAAATATTTATCAAAAGTGGTTTTTGTAGTAATTATTTCTTTATATTTGAAGGCTATAGGAGAATGGACTTGTCTGTCAGTTAATAAAAGATAAATTTCAGCTATCCTTTAACATTCTTTTAAGAAATTGGTCTCTAAAAAATATGGCTGTTTGAATTTCTCATATCAAAATAAGTTCAAGTAAAACTCAATTATAGTTTGATGGTATTTCAATAAAATAAGATGATTGAGCGATTCCCAACAGGCCTAACTGAACCAGAAGTAGTGAGATAATTTAATTGTTGGCTATAGTCCAAGAGTTATCTTTTACTATAAAATGGTGATAGCTACCTAATAACAACTATTATCATATTGGTTACTAAAACTAGTAGGGGGAGTGATAATAGTTTGGCTTAGTTATTTTAGAGTTAGTTCGTTGACTGCTGTAGGCTCAAATTAACTTTACAAAAACTGCAACAGGCTATTAAAATGTTTAAAGTTAGGGAATGACTACTTGTAATCGTTGCTGATTGTCCCAGACCTCCGTATATTTTACAGATTAGGAAGATTCAAATCAAGAATACTTGTTTTCTACAGAAAACTCTCCCTTCATCCCCTCAAGCTGACTGACTCCTACCAAACTAACAGTCCAAATTCTGATCCCCAACTAACTGCCCCTCAGTAAGAGGTATAGTACCGTAATCAAGTGAGTCAAGAGTACTTATTTTCTATAAACAATTAGTAGGTAAAGTGGAGACAAGTTGACACCCCCCCCCCCTCCCCCTGACAGCCCCTAACCCATTTACCCACCCCATCTAACTGCCCCTATTTTGTTGTATAGTAATCAACTAAAGGAAGTGTAGAGTCAAGAGTGCTTGTATTCTATAAACAATTAGTAGGTAAAGTGGAGACATGATGACCTTATAACACTAACAGAATGTTTAGTTTGTATAAACACTACTATATCACTTAGCTAACCAATTTGGCAGTGGTCAGCTATAATTATTACTAGTGGGCTTTAAGTTAGTTAACAATGACTGAGGTACAATCCAACCATACATTATGCCTGTTATATATCCTATATCTGAAGTTGACCAGTGCTGTTACATATAGTGATGAATTGTGTTTCTACAAATCTAGAATTCAGCTAGCATTTCTGTGTTTGCCGCAGAAATTCTGCTTATCCTTCTGTCATTTACCTGAGGTGCAGCTTTAAGTTTGTTTTGTATTTGGATATTTACAACACTAAATTCATTATAAAGTCAATAAGCTTGATTGAAGTGATGCAATCTCTCTCTTCATATTCAATTACATTTATCTCAAGTTACATAAGCCTATTATCTTTTTTTTCTAATTTCAAGTCCTATACATTATGAAAATCGCGTGTTCTTATCCAGACTAGAAATGCACTGAATCATCTAACATATCTTGTTGACTTCTGTGAGTCCATCCAGCTAATTGGGCAATTTTATACAGTTTTTTTACAGTGTACTGATAATGACTGCTTGTGTCAAAAAGGTTAAGATGTAAACAGGTATAACTTACCTATAGTATCAATAAATTTGCCAGTTGGGCTGGACGGCCCATTAACCTGACTGGACATTCCTACTGGTTACCACACCTTCCACAACCCTGAAAATATACAATACAATGTTATCATTTACTCAGATTAATAATCAACAAGCACATATAGATGTTTTAACAGTAAAAAGTGCAAAAATGGAAATAGAAATGTCATGATAATACAAATCCCTGAAAATATATAATGCACTAACAGTATATGAAGTTAACAAAAAGAGAAAATTTGAGATATTTTGATCATCTTTCTGGAGTTGATCTACAATAATCAAAATTTTACAACTACTCTGATCATCTTGGGATTGTTAAGAGGTTTTCTAAACTTATTAGTTATATTTGGGACACATATATATATATCATTGATTTCCACTATTCCAATTATCAATCAGATGTTTGTGGGTCTAGTTTTAGTGGAATTGCAGGATACACAGATGTCTGATTGAAATTGGAATGCTACAAATCAATATTATCAGTGTCCCCAAATACACATAAAATGTTTAGAAAACTTCTTTACAATATGGTAATACGGTAATGTACTTTTAGATTTTCAACAACCAAATACATTATATGATTTAAAAAGAAAAGAAAAGTAGTATTTCTGAAAACTGTTTTCTTTTTTTCAAATGTATAACAAAGTCCTTATTGATCAAATAACTACAAAAAACATTCTCTCTATACAAAGAAAGCAGTGGAGTGAATACATAATGATCTATTTCTATGTTTATTTACCATGTTGAAATTATCACAGTATTAAAAGCTGATACTGGCAATGTACTATTTGACTAATTATACTGTAGTTTATAGACAATGTTGAATTTTATCAAAGGGCTTAAGATATTACAAAGATCTAAAGTTGATCATGCACTATTTGACTGTGACAGGTCATCAGACAGGACGTATGTTGTCATTCAGTTTGTCATCTTGACCTTGAAAATAAGGTGATATACTCTACAAGGTCATTCAGTACTCCCTTTTTTGTTTTGCCTGTTTTATTTGTTTAAACTATTTGAATTTATCCTATAAATTTTTTACAAGATTAACAAAAGACCTCTATCTGCTTAACAATCTGAGGATAACTCTATTTTCAAAGACTTATATATTGACCAACTTGCACCAATTCAAACTAGACTAATGCAATATCAGTGATTTCTTATAAATCATAACCAAGTTACAGACTGTTTTTATAAGTTAATCAACCTCTTGTTTGCATTACAGGGAAAGGATTTCCCCGTTGGAGCAGTCAGTATGTGCAGGAACACGTAGGAAGAAGCTACAATAACAGACAAATTATGAAGGTATACAAAACTTACAAAATGTCCACACAATATATCACAGGAATTGTAATAAGCTAACATGTATACAAATAAAAAAATAACTGTTAAAATAGTGCTCAATACATCAATTGTAGAGCAATATAGAAATACCACTGTTAAAATAGTCCTCAATACATCAATTGTAGAGCGACATAGAAATACCACTGTTAAAATAGTGCTCAATACATCAATTATAGAGCAATATAGAAACACCACTGTTAAAATAGTGCTCAATACACCAATTGTAGAGCAATATAGAAATATCACTGTTAAAATAGTGCTCAATACACCAATTGTAGAGCAATATAGAAATACCACTGTTAAAATAGTGCTCAATACATCAATTGTAGAGCAATATAGAAACACCACTGTTAAAATAGTGCTCAATACACCAATTGTAGAGCAATATAGAAATACCACTGTTAAAATAGTGTTCAATACATCTATTATAGAGCAATATAGAAATACCACTGTTAAAATAGTGCTCAATACACCAATTGTAGAGCAATATAGAAATACCACTGTTAAAATAGTGCTCAATACATCAATTAGAGCAATATAGAAATACCACTGTTAAAATAGTGTTCAATACATCAATTGAAGGGCAATATAGAAATACCACTGTTAAAATAGTCCTCAATACATCAATTGTAGAGAGATATAGAAATACCACTGTTAAAATAGTGCTCAATACACCAATTGAAGGGCAATATAGAAATACCACTGTTAAAATAGTCCTCAATACATCAATTATAGGGCAATATAGAAATACCACTGTTAAAATAGTGTTCAATACATCAATTGTAGAGCAATATCAAAATATCAAAACAATATTAAGTTAATATTTTTAAGTTTATAATATGTAAGTATAAGTATTGTACATGTATTAAAAGCCATATCTCCACCTTTCAAGTCTCAGATAACTGTTTATACACTCTCCCCTCTCATGTTACATATTGTTACATCTACTTTTACATATTAATATGGTCTTGTCTTTTATTTCCATTATTCATAATTTAATCTGTTTAACAAATTCATACTAATATAGTTTTTTAACCTACCAGTGCGAGATTTTCTATCACTTGTCCTTTAGATGAAAAATATGTGAGTGGTTGAAAGATGACACTGGGTCGACTTTTGGCTGTGGCATATTAGAATATTTCTTAGCAAGAGGATTCAAACCCACTGTAATTAATCGTCTAACAGACAACAATCCATCTCATATTACTTAAGATAACACATTCATACTAATATGGTTACAAATATTGCAATCATTTTCTACCTCAGGTGATGTTATTTTCTATCTCAGGTGATGTTATTTTTTACCTTAGGTGATGTTATTTTTTACCTCAGGTGACGTTATTTTCTACCCCAGGTGACGTTATTTTCTACCTCAGGTGATGTTTTTTTTCTACCTCTGGTGACGATATTTTCTACCTCAGGTGATGTTATTTTCTACCCCAGGTGATGTTATTTTCTACCCCAGGTGACGTTATTTTCTACCTCAGGTGATGTTTTTTTCTACCTCTGGTGACGCTATTTTCTACCTCAGGTGATGTTATTTTCTACCTCTGGTGACGCTATTTTCTACCTTTGGTGATGAAATGTGCAATGACGGAAATTTTGCCATGAACAGAGCACGAGTCTAAACAAATTTGATTTATAACTATGGAGGGACAGCCTCTTACATGGACAGCCTCTAGCACATAGGGTTACAGTGGATTGTCCCGTCTAAATAACCTTCCAGTTTAGTTGGGGAAACTCGATTGACAAATTTTAAGGTATAATCCAGAACTATGCCAAGATAGCAAGTAACCCAGTTTCCATACTTAGTCACTTTTGCTTCCTTATTTGTGAGGTTTTGTGACTTGTGGAAAGAATTAAACTATTCTATCATCTGATTCAGATAAAGACAGAAAGATTTTGAAACTAGAGATAAACTTGCTGGAGAAATCAACAAAAAAATAAACACCTGAATGGTTTTCAGTTTCAAATCTTAACAGTTGAAATTTGTCCTATTTTAAAATGCCCTAAATTCATAAAATAACACCTTAAGCCTGGTAAAACAAAGTTAATTCATTTTACCAACTCTTCCCCATCAATTATCACAGTTGGTAATTAACCCTTTACCTCCAACTATTTCAATTATGTTGTTTTTATCACAAGTTTAAATATCAAAGTGTTGGAATGTGCAGGGTTAATAAAATGAAAGGTCAGAAAGACCAATTAATCTTGTAATTCACTCTATTTTTTTTAAGATACTTGATGTTGGACAATGCAAAGGTCAAAAATGAAATTGATTACTGTTCAGGTGATCTAGGAAAGTTGACAGTTTCTACCCAGATGTTGCTTAAGTCCATTCAATTTTCAACTTATTCCTTGACAAACTGTCAAATGAAAAAAATTGCAGTAATCTTAATATTTGATTTACCACCTCATAGAGCTCAAAGTCAAAAATCTTTGCATACAGTATTACAAATGACACTATACTCAAATTATAATACAGTTCAATTTAAAAAGATCTCTGCAGTGTGGTTCACTTCCTTAATGTGTTTCTGCAACTTCTATATATAGATGAGTTCCCCCAAAATTTAAAGAAACATCTCAAAGAGTGTCCTGCCTCTAGTCATTCTGACATAAACTATAAGCAAGGTCATTTATCAGTCATAAATATAATTTTCTCAAAACCATCTTGAGGTTTACATTGCCATTTTATTCTTGTATTCTTTGTATTCACTGTCTAAGCCTCCCTGCTGAGCATCTTTACATAAAATATTTAAAATAATCTTTTCTTTGATGGTATGAGAGTAACAATAGCACCTTTGTTTTATTCTTCTTGTCTCTTTTTTACATTAAAGTTATCTCTTATATCTTTCTTATTATTTACATTTTTAACAAGCTCAATTTGTTTTTTTGATAACTCTTTCAATGGTGTTGGATTTCAAAATTCTTAGCAATATTATCTATTTCTATTTTGTTACTGGCAGGTCAAAGTCGTTATTGATCAAATCTTTAGAAATAGAAAATCTCAAATAGATTATTCAATATGGAAATATCAATTTGGATAATACTGACTGATAGCTGTAAAAAGAATGAATAATAAACAACAATTTCATTGAATTCAGTCTACTCTCAATTAGATATTAAAGAGTAATTCCAGTTAAACATCTAATTTTTACTGTAATCAATAAGCTTATCTATTGCTCTGTGACCTCAGGCAGCCCTCTTGCGATTTATTTCAATACAAATAGAACAGTAGAAATATAAGGATGGGCAAGACAGCAATGCGATAAATACAGTCCAGTCTGACTAGATATTTTATAGTGATTGAAAGGATTATATCTGGTATAAGAGCAGTCAATATCTATGTAGCTGGGAGAGGATTAAACTGAAAGCAGGGTTAACCATGTTATTCTACAAGTTAATACACCACAATCAATATTCTTTCTATAGATATCATTCTATCTGAAGCCTGGGTCAAACTGTAAACATGGCAATATTAGTCTCTAGACAGAGCTGTAATTTGTAAATACTCCATTGGGAACATTTAATCAGTAGATAAAATTCAGTTTCTTATGCACTTAAAAATGTTTAAGAACTTCAAATATTAGCATGCTACAGAAATAACACCAGTAGTTTTCTATCTTATAATTCTTTATTTCATTGGGCAAAAGATTTTTGTGCCTTCGTGGCACTTCGCATTATCTTGCAA